CCCGGCCGCCATGACGTCCCGGCCGCCATGACGTCATGACATTTGTTTCTGCAGAGCCGAGGCCACGGACGTCCGTCGCTGGGGGCCTTTCTCCTCTCCCTTGCACACTCTGCCTCCCGCCCTTGAAACGCACTGTGCACACCCAGAGTTCTGTGTTGGCGGGATGAACGCAGGCAGGACGGCGACAGTCCCTCCCTGACACTCTCAGCCTGCCAGGGTGGGGGCAGCGTGGGGACAGGTCGGGGAGGCTCCCCGCTGAAGACCCCCCCCCCCCAGGACCTGGGCGAAGTCGGGGCAGCCTGGTGCAGTTCTCAGGACGGTCAGGAGGGGGCACTGGGCTCGGCTCCAGAAATGACCTGGAGGCGGGAAGGCTGGTGTGACCTCAGGTTTTCTACTTTAAACCTAAAGGGGACAATAGCTCCAAGGCGGACCCGTCCCTGAGCCTGCACCAGGCCCTGGGTTCCACCCCAGCACCGCAAAGAAAAAAAATGGAAGTCTGGATTTTTGTAGGAAATCAAGTTTTAAAATCACAAAAAGGCCAAACAGAACATATCTGTGAGCTGGACCTTTGGGGACAGGCTGGGGACAGACACTGGGTTATCTTTATAGACTGGCTGCCTCTAGGGAGGAACTTGGGAAAGAATTCCTGAGCGAGCTGGGCGGTGGCCCACACCTGTCCTTCCAGGGGCTCAGGAGGCCGAGGCAGGAGGATGGCAAGTTGGAGGCCAGCCTCAGCAACTCAGTGAGGCCCTGAGCAACTCCGCGAGACCCTGTCTCTAAATAAAACATCAAAAGGGCTGGGGATGGGGCTCAGGGGTTAAGTGCCCCTTGGGCTCCATCCCTGGCACCTAAAATAAAATAATATTCCCATGGATCCATGAATGGGTGGGCAGGAGGCTCGCTTTACCGGATCCCTTCAGGGATCACGGTGTCCAGAGGGAGCCTGCGGGGGACGGCGGGGGTGTGCGGAGCTGGCTTGTCCATGGGGCTGGCCAGCAGCCATCCTCAGCCAGGAGCTGGGCAGACCCAGGAGCCCTGTGGGAAGTCCAGTCCCCGTGGCCTCCCCTGCCAGTCTAAGGAGGGAGCTGAGCTGTCCCTAAGCACCTTCTCCTGCAGCGTCCACCGCTGCCCC